GGAACCCCAGCCCCCAGCCACCCGGCACAGGCACCCCGAGCCCACCACCACGCCACTGAACCGCTCCGAGGGGAACGTGGCTGGACGCCCCAGATTTACACACCAGCTCCGAAAAAAGGTGGAGAAACCAAAACACAGGCACACATTTGCTCGCTTTTGCACCCGTTTTACAGCCACACGCTTGGTGAGACATGGAGCATCCCTCTGCCCTGCATGGAGGACCTGAAATCTCCTGCTCAGTGCCCCCCAGGATCGCCTTGCCATGCACGGGCATTTCTGTTTGCACACACACACGCACCCTGATCCAGGCACACGCGATGACACCTGGACCTGCCGAGCTGAGCCCTCCGCGGCAGGAGAGCCGGGTCAGGCAGGGCTGTGGCTCACTCGGGGGCACTCGTGCTGGGACACGGGCAGGGGTGGGAGACACCCTGGGTCTGCCCGAGAGCCGCCGGGATTCTCCAGGGGCTGCCAGGTGGGCTGGGTCTCCTGCAGGACTAGCCAAACCCCAGTGAATCCACACAGAGGAATTCCCAAAAGAAATGTGAGGGGCGCCCGCTGCTTTGGCTTTCCTCCTCGGCTGTCCCATCCCTCCTCCCGACTGGAGAAGTTCCCAGGGGAGCCGGCAGCGTCCTCTTTCGGGAGCGGCTTTTCCATAAGCAGGGCAGCCGCCCCCTCCCCGGGGCAGCTCCAGCCCCCTGGGGTGACCTGAGCCCCTGGCCGAGCACCCACCAGCAGCCACCCGAGCTCGGGAAGGGACAGAGCAGGCAGGGCTGGGGCTGGCAGCCCCCATCCTCACCCGAGTCCCCCCCACCGCTCCCCGGTACGTTGGCTCCATGCCTGTCTCCTCTCCCCCATCTCTGGCAGTTCCCAGCACCGCTGAGGCTCTTCCCCAGCCGGGGCTCAGCACTGCTCCAAGCATCCCAGCCCCAACTTACTTGCCCAGTTCCTCGAAGAGCTGGTACTCCTCGGTGAAGCGATTGCAGGTGATGGTGGCCATTCCGAGGGGCTGGAAATGCTCCCTCCCCAGTGCAGAGTTTGGGGCAAGCAGCTCTCCTTTCCCTCCCTCCCTCTCCGTGTGCTCCCGGGGCTCTCTTCTCACCGAGGTAAATAAGGGAATATGTTTGATTGACAAGCCCAGAGATAATGATGAGGGCAATTTGTCTTCTCAGCTTCACAAGCCTTCGTCAGCATCCCCGTCCCCATGGCGACCACCGCTGCCAGAAACGCCCTGTTTCTGTTGCCGGGGCAACTGCTTCCCAAACCGGCCGCCCACCCGTGGGGACCAGGGCCCTGCTGGGGACCCGGCCCCGGGGCCTGCCCAGGGGTCACCCGGCTGCTGCAGGCTGGGGGGGAAGTCTAAAATGCAAATATTAAAGGCAAATTAAAGGATGTGGTAGTGGTAGAATAATTGGGGCAAAAAGGGTTTCCATGGAAACCGTGGTTTCCATGTTGCAGGAGGATGCTGTCGCCCCGGCAACTGCTTCCCCCCCAAAATACAGGCCCTGCTGGTGCCCGCAGCGGCATCCCTCTGGGCCTGGGGGGCTGCGGGACGGGGTCGGGGCAGGTGGGAGCAGATGGAGCAGAAGTGTGTCAGGAGAAGCTGGAGAAACCATGGCAGGGCCCCCGGTCCCCACAGCGGCCCCCCACCCACCCGGGGCCCCCCGGG